TCCACCTCCCGCCTCTTAGGAGCGAAAGCTAAGGCTCTCATTCCTGCAGGCTCGTAGTCACTGGAGCCGAAATGGCTTAGCCTGAGCTTTCTTGAACCCAGCTCTCAAAATTGAGACAGCAGAATAGCAGTCCCTTCCCACTGTCATTCGAGCTTGCCAGTTTAGCGTGTGGCTGCTTGGAAGTCGTCTCTCCATTGGTCATCGACATTTGGCGGCAGGAATCGGAGCCATTGGGGCTTGTCCAATTGCTCGCATCTGTCAAAGGCACTGAGCCAGGCATGTGTACCTCGCAATGTTTTGCTTTTCTTTTGTTTACGAACTGCTCGAAGCTGCGCAGCCTGCAAAAGCACGCCAGCAATGTAAGAGATGGTGGAAAGTGGACTTCTTGCAGCTTTGTGAAAGGCTTCTTTTGCTCAATGATGCGTAAGTTTTGGGAAAGACTGAGTTGCTGTAGCTGTGAGCAGTGCGCAAAGGTTGAACCCAAATTTCAATGATGTCCGTTTTTGACAAATCAACAGTTTGCAGCTGCTGGCAGCTCACGCACGCGGCCGTCTCTGTCCTGTTAAAACCCCTCAGTTCCCTGTTCCAAGTTCTCTGTCCCCATTTTGCTGCTCCCACGACTTGAGGCTGTGCAGTTGGAGATCAGCCTCGTCTGAGATCCACCTGTGGGCCTTGATCAGCGTCCGGGTGCGGATCGGCTCGCACGGTTTCTGAAACGGATCAAAGTTTTTTGGAGCGTTCGCTCTTGGCTGCGGCTGTCCTGCCACTCCGCAGATAGCCACGCCGGCCCTTTTTTTGTGTCATGGCAAGAAACAGCAACTCGCCTCCAGTTCCCTGCCCAAGTTCCCTGTCCCAGTTCCCTGTCCCAGTTCCCTGCCTCCAGTTCCCCAGTTTGCTGCCTCCAGTTCCCTGCCCTAGTTCCCTGTCTCCAGTTTGCTGCCCAGTTCCCTGCCCGCCAGTTTCCTGCCCCAGTTCCCTGCCCCAGTTCCCTGTCCCCTGTTCCCTGTCCCAAGTTGCCTCTAGTTTGCTGCCTCCAGTTCCCTGCCCATTCCCTGTCCCAGTTTTGCTGCCTCTCTGTTCCCTGCTCCCCACTTCCCTGTCCCCTGTCCCAAGTTCCCTGTCCCCATTTTGCCGCCCCCACTCTACATGCAGTAGTCGGAGATCCTCGCCTGAGATCCACCTGTAGACCTTGATCAGCGACTTGAGGTTCTACATGTTGGAGATCAGCCTTGTCTGAGATCCACCTGCAGGCCTTGATCAGCGACTTGAGGGCTTACAGTTGGAGAACAGAATCAGGAAGCATGAAGCGAAAACGCCGCCCTCAAAGATACAACATTAAATCGTTGGGGGTCAAGTGAAACGCCGCCCTCAATGATGGCAGTCAGCTGCAAAGCAGAAGACGATGTTCTGGCAGTTCTGCTTTGAGGGCAGCGTTTTCACTGGTTGCTTCCTGATTTGGCTTTTTTTTCCACGAGTACGGACGCCGTGTGGGCAAGGAAGGGAAATACAATCAGATGGTGGAGAAAAGGACAAAGACAACCCAACAACAAACCAAACAAAACCAACCACAGCCCACAGGCCGAGACTCCACCACCAAGTAGTATTTCCTCTGTACTAGGGTGAAACAAGTGAGACGATGACTGCTGACTATCTGTTATGGGCCTGAATTTCACGAAAGAAGAGCATGGCAGCGAGGGTTTGTGCTCTAGCAAAATCTCAACGAAGTCGTCAAATGGACTTCACATCACTATTACCAGTGACCAGCGGCCACTGCACAGAGTGGCAAAAACCTGGTCACAATGCAAGTCCCTGATCCTTGCCTAAGTAGGTCAGTGGTTGCTATGCAGGTCATGCCGTGGAAAAATCCTTTCTTGTAGCACAACCCTTGCAACTGGTTGCACATACAAGTCAAGAGGCATAGTAGTTGGTGGTGTTCAGGCAGTGGGCTTGCTTCCTGATTTGGCTTGGCGTTTTTTCTTTCTGCTTGGTCTGAGATCAGCTGTGTCTGAGATCAGCAAGAACACAAATTTTGAGCACGGTGGCTGTTTTTTTCTCAATGCTTGGTCTGAGATCAGCTGTGTCTGAGAGAACACAATTTTTGAGCACGGTGGTTGTTTTTTTCTTCATGCTTGGTCTGAGATCAGCTGTGTGTGAGATCAGCGAGAACACCATTTTTTGCGGTGGTTGGTTTTTTCTTGATGCTTGGTCTGAGATCAGCTGTGTCTGAGATCAGCGGGAACACCATTTTTTTGAGCACGGTGGTTGTTTTTTTCTTCATGCTTGGTCTAAGATCAGCTGTGTTTTGAGATCAGCGGGAACACGATTTTTAAGCACGGTGGTTGTTTTTTCTTAATGCTTGGTCTGAGATCAGCTGTGACTAAGACAGCGGAAACATCATTTTTGTAGAGCGTCAAGTCCCTTAGCAAAACGAATTCACTGCCCAATTGCCACAAAGAAGCGTCTCTGTCTCACGGTCTTACCTGTGCATGTACAAAGTTGAATCTCCTTTGGTAGTTTCGTGCCTTTGTTGTTTTTGTGTTGTGTGTGGTTGGTGTTTCCTTTCTACTTTGATTGTTTTTGGAACAGGAGATTCATTCAAACCAGCAAAAGCTGACCTGTGCACTTCCTGCACGTGCGGCGGCTCCACTCGTGCAAAAAAAACTGTGCAATCTCTGCACACATATACACCCATGCAAAAAAAGGTCTGGAAGTTCATGTTGAACCTGGCGCTTGGTAGATGGAAAATTTGAAACATATCTTGTTCAATGCGTTCACAACTTTAGCAACTCAGTCGACTTTTGACATGTCCGAAGACGGTTTCATTTTTTTCGTACGCTTTTCGCACTAGATCCACTGTTGGAGTCAAAATCTTAACAGGCTTAGCCACATCTTTGCATTAAGAGTAGTGGGTCTTCAGATACTTTGATATGAAAAATGTCAGGTAGTCCAGAATGGAAGTTATATTGACGTATGTGCTTTTGTGGAATATCTTGATATCTTGATGCAATTTTGATCATTTTTGTGGCTGAACCGGAAAACTAATCAAATAGCTAAACTGGTGGCAGCCTTGAACATTAGCATAAGTTAACCTGCGTGGCATGCCCTTCAAGTTCAAACTCTGGAATCACCACAATATCACAACAATGTCTGAAACACGCAGATCTATTCTAGAAAGATTGTGCTGATCACAGCCGCCCATGATCTTTTCATGCTGATGTTTGTGAAAATGATAGAGAAACCTGAAACTTCTGAATACATGAACAACTGCCATGTGAAACATCATCAGATTAGTTCCCAGTCACCGCTCTTTTCCCCGGTCTCCTCATGTAGTGCGTCTTCCTTGTAGAACGTGATTGTGCACTTTGTGGAAATTTTCCTATAGAGTAAGGTATAGTTTATCCAACAGATTTAGGACAAGAACTGAATCTTTTTATTTCCAATTACACAAAAACATATTGTTTTCTAAAGTTTGTACAACATATGTATATATATATAGATAAGAAGTACCTGTATATAAATACAAAAAGGACGCTGTCTGTACAACCATGTATAAAACGTAGACACGCACATATTTTTGTTGCATTTTCTAAAACCGAAACAATGAACAAACAGATCGGCTCTTAGAAACAAAGCGAAGAAGAGCAGGAACCAACAAATTGTTGCTAACACTACTATTTGGATACCATGGCACTCAAAATTTGATACTTCTGTGGAACTGTTGCTGTATATACAGGTAATGCAATGCAATTGTGTAATTCACTGTATTTCCAATAACATGGAAAACGTGGAACCTGACAGCGTCCCTTTCTGATTTTTAACTGTGCCGGGAGACCTCAAAACCTCAATCACATTGGCAGCAGGATTGAAATCGAGACTTCAAGAGCTTCAAGCAAAGGTTCACATTGGTAATCCCAATAGCAACAAAAACATCAAAAACCTCAAAACCATCATAAAAACATTGACCCAACCAGGCAGTTCTTTGTATCCGGGCTCAACCATTTTGATTGCCAACGCCTCAGGGCATACGGAATGGACTGGCTCGATGATCTAGGCTGCCAAGCTGGACAGGGCATTGGACTTGCGAGTGGCTTTCCAAGCCACGGTTGGTTCTTCAAAGGCAGAAACACGCGTTTGCAACTTAATCCCGATGGAAAGAGTCCTCCCCAAAAAATATTCCACGCGGCAATCCTCCGGAAAATCCTCGCGAGGCTGCTGGCAGGGACAATCCCTGCCACGTGTTGCGGCGCACGCGGTGGGAAATAAGCTTGTCAACGAGGAATGCTGCCAGCCCAAGCTGGGGCCCAGAAGCAGCATACAAGAGAAACTGCTTTTGGCATCCGAAATGCGACTCTTTCCCACTTTCGCAAAATGTTCCCTTGACAGCATGCGCCCACAACGAGTGTCCGAAGCATCCTCCAAAACTTACGCCGGAACGTGTTCCGGAACTCTTTTGCTCCGGGTTGTTGTGAATGTGTATTTTTTGTCAAATTTGCTTCAAACATTTGGGAAGAGTTCGACATAGCAGCAATGTGTCCATTGAGGGTGCGCAACAAACATTGTTTTGTACATTTGGATTGTTCTACGACGTCGCTCTATGCCCAGAAGCATGCAGGTTCTGACCAACGCCCAACCACCGCCGTCCGCCTTTTTTTGACTGAAGTGATAGCCGTGATGGCCTTTGAACCCGTTTTGAACTCCATCAGTATCCGACGTACTCACTTGCAATCATTTTTTGGGAACAGGTTTGGGCTTTCCGGTGAATCCACCATCGTGTCCAGCAACTTTCGTGCAACGTCGCCGCCAACGAAGTGCCGTGGCTTAGCAGCTTAGCGCAGGCAGGAGAGAACTCGTGCAAAGCAATCAAAAACATTCTTCTGGCAACTACTCTGTGGATTAAACAACCATTATTGAACATTCTTAGAGGGGACAGTTGGTTGCATAACACGGTGGTTTTTTTGTCCAAATATGTCCAAATGATTCATGAACCCCTGCATCAACCAATTGAACAGCTTTTTTGTCCGTTGTCACGCGGACCAGTGCTACAGCGACGTGGGTGGCTTCCAACCGAGCGCGCCTGCGGCTTGGAAAGAGCTAGTGCTTCCGTGCAAAGGGACAATTGGTTTGCAGCTGCGAAAAGGGGACGGACAAGGGTTCTCAATGTTTTTGTCATGTGTCTGAATGGTGGTGCTTGAACAAGCAGGCTCGCTTGGGGGGGACCTACCTGGTTCTTGAGCTTTGCACAGACCAATGCCCATGTTTGACAGATGGTTCGATCACATTTTTGGGTACTCCAGACCAGGACGGACCGTTTTTGGGCCCACTTGACCATGTCGAGCTCCAGTGCCTATGCCTTGGTTCAAAAGATTTTGCACACATCAACACACACTGGAAGACTCCTATGGCTCTTTGTCCACTTGCGGATTGATGAATTGGATTTCTCCATTTTCCCCATGTGTCCTAGGTGAACCCGTTTTCTTCCCTTTCACACGGAGCCAGCCGAGGTCATGGACACTGCAAGCATTTGTAACATCACCTTCGCCCTGCTGGGCGCCTGGCTGCTGGGCTACAGGTGCCTCTCGCTCGCTCGCTCGCCCGCTCGCTCGTGCTCCGTTGTGAAGGTCTCGACCGAGACCGAGGTGGAAAACCCCCTTGGTGCGGAGGTTTCGCCGTCCGCGCCCACGTCTGGGATGCCGTAGGATGAAGCTGGCCCAGTGGCCTGAATCCTGAACAAGCATTGTGTGACTAAGGATTTTTCACTACAAAACCAGGTCAAGCATTCTTTAAATGGTCGAACGGAAGGCTAGGGGTTGAGGGCCTGGCGGCCAGGGTATGGAAAAGCGGGTGAAACATCTAACATGGCCACTACATGAGGCTGCAGGTGAGATGACGTGCAACTAGCTTGGCGGAGCTTTGGGTAAGATGACGTTCTGTGGAGCCTTGGATGCTGAAGAAAGTCTTTGTGAGTCCAGCCGACTAGTCTAAACATGTCTAAACATGGTCTGGCTAGTAGGTGACACAAGTCTAGGAAATTCTTTTCTTTTGGCGCTGCAACAGATTGATCCGTAGCCTTCCGTTCGACGCATGGCCCTGGACTGGATGCCCCTTGTGCTTTAAAACGAAAGGATTGGTCTGCTGTTCCACTCCAGCACAGGGGGTCAATCCTGAGTGCAAAGGTCGGTATCCCCAGCCTTCCGTTAGACCATCTGAAGTCTAAACTCCTGAGGAAAGCCATACCATGGGAGCTTAAAGAAGCCTCGACAGTGAGAGAAGCCTCGGAAGTTTCAGCGTCACATAGCGTCACTCAGTACTGTTGAAAGAAATCGAACTCTGTGGTGGCTTCCAAGGAAACTCTTCCTTTAAATGTAGAGATGCGAAGCTTTGCCCTCCAGGCCGCTGCTGTATACGCCCTGCAAGACGGTCGTGGAGGTTGGCCCGGGACGTCTCTGAACAACAGTTTCAGCTTCAGTAATCCCTCCTTGGACATTCCACATGAGAACGGTCTTGGCATACCTGCCGCGCATGCCGCAGCTCGCCTTTTTGGGTGCCAGAAGATGGGGACACAGTCACTTAACACATGCTTCTACTGAGCTGATTGGACATGTTTTACAAGAACCCCCATGACTTTCGTTCCAGCCTGCCTTGTCTGTCATTTGAGAAGTCACTACAACATGTTGTGCAACGATGTCAAGCTACTTTACAAATGGAGCACAAGTTTCAAGTTCTGGCACGTTGTGGATTACATAGTCCATGTGTGGGACAGTGTGAAACTAGCAGTTTGAACGAGACACTCCGAAATTCTTGTTTTTTTACATATGAAGCCGACACATGTTCAAAGAGGTCTACTGGAAAAAGGCCCGCCTCCACCTGGCCCTTTTCTTCAGACTGACAACCAAGCAGCTTTCTGAACGGACGGCCAACCTTTGTCTTTTCGGTCCGGTGACAGACATCAAAAACAGCTTTTTGCACCCGACATTTATGTCCTTTTTCTTTTATTTTTTGTTGGCCAATCAAAGATGCATGTAATCATGTACCAAAAATGGGCTGACCCATGTAATGACATGATCTTCGTTGTGCATCACGATGGAACAGCCTTTGCTTTTGTTGCGGTGGGCTGGCTTCCTTCCCGGTTTCACCGTGGACCGTGGCGAATTCGTCCGCACCGGTTCAGGTGATGACGACTCTTCTCAGTCGGGGAGACCTGGTCGAGACAGCGCCGAGAGAGGGAACCTCGACGAGACCTGGGCCTCAGTGAAGGACGTTTTCGGATGCTTCAGGTCTCCTACTTGAACCAATTCTTATTTTGACTCTCTTTTGGTGAGGTTGCTGACCAGTGTCTTTGTCTCATTGCTGAGTGCGTCAAAGGTCGGTGTCGGTATCGCTAGCCTACAGAAAAGACCATGAAGCAATGTGTGATCTGGTATTGTAGTCTAAAGCCCTTAGTAAAACAATGGTTGTGTGGCAATGCCTACTATATAAATTACATATTGGTGGTTGGAATCATAGGGTATAGCATGGTATAACGGTATAGCCTTCTTCAGTTGATCCAAGGGCTTCGTCGCGGAAGAATTTCTTCGATTGGGATCATGGACTGATGGCAAGCCCTTGCAGTTTCTCGTTCCGCCGATAAAACCCATGAAAAAGGTTCAGAAGGTTCAGGTTCAGCCCAGAAAAGGTGCAGGTTCAGTTAGATGTGGTACCTGCACGTACCTTGTACCACATAAAAATGATCCAAACAATTTGCTTTTCACTTTTTCTCACAATTCGCCGAACTGCTACCCTGAGTGGATGCATTGGCTTTGTATTCTTCCGGGCCAATTCTCGCGACAACGCGGGGGGTTTCAGGGCTGATGTTCTCATTTTTTCCTATTCCAACTTGTTTCACAGGGAAGGGGAAGTTTGTGTGTACCGAGGGGCGAGGGAGAGCCATGCATGGAGGTCCATTCTCGTTCCAAACCACGCAGCTGAGGATTGAGATGTTGATGAGCTGTAGCACTGAAAAAGATAGGATGCACCTCTGGGGTCTTGTGGGTTCCTGAAGTGTCCTTCTCTTCTTGGATGAGGTTCAAGAGAAGTGGCCCCCCCTGGTCAAGTAGATCACCCTTCGACTCGCCTTCGACCTCTTGGGCGGTTTTGCAGGAGGTTCGACCTGTTTGGGATTCTCCCCGCTCCATATGAGACCAAGGGGTTCTGCTGGGGAGCCCAGCAATCCTCCCCATCCCAAAGCATCAGAACCATCCTACACACCTCTCCTCCAACGCTCCACGTCATCTACCGCTTTTCATCGGTCTGGATCTCTGACTCCGGCGCCGCCGCGACGGCCGGCGCTTGCCTAGGCGGTGCCTCGTTGGCCTTGCTGGCGCCCTTCCTCCCATGGCCACCACCGCCGGGGAGCGCGCCCGGGCGAATCAACATGACGGGTCGAAGCATTGAAGATGAACATGGGAGAAGATGGGTGTGCCTTGGTGGTTTCAACTTACTTACTTGTAAAGTATTGGTCAGTTGGAGTACCACCACCTCATTTTCGAGACTCTTTCCCTAGGATTCCAAACAACATTAATTAAATACTATATAATATATAGCTGTTTTACTAAGGATTTACAATACAAAACCAGATGTGGTTGAACGGAAGGCTATGGAGATGGGCGTGTCTTTAAATCGTGATTGCTTAAATAGATGGGGTCAGAACCTGGAGCTCTGGTCCAGCACATAGCTGGACCTTTCAGGTAGGTATCCTGGTTTGACCCACAGCTGGAGGACCCTCAGCTTAGGGTAAGGCTGACAGAAGTAAAGCATCAGAAGCATGCAATGCACTGTCTATACAAATGTTGGAGGGTTTTGGTAGTTTTTCTTCTTTTCAGGGGGAGTTTGGGAGGTGTTCCAAATTTAGTACACAGGTTCAAACCTGGACCTGCACATTTTCACTGGTTGATTGACATGTCGGTGCAGTCCATTGCGTTCATGTTGGTCTGTTTAAGGGTGTTTCTGGGTGCCATGAACCATAGTGCCATAGCCACATGCTAGAGCTTTTTGAAAACTACTCTTCTCCTTTTATATCACCTGAAGCTTTCAGGTGCAATTCACCTTCGGGTGTGTGTTGCTCTAATGTTCAGAGTAAACATTTGAAAGGTGGGTCGTATGAAGAGACTCTCCAGTGTTCTCGATGCTATGTGCCAGTCACCCAGATGTCTCTTTTTTGGACTTTCAGACAAGCCTCGCTGGGCGACACATCCCCACGGATTTGCTTCGTTTTCTCTCAAAGATCTTAGTGCCAGAGTTTCGGGCGTGTGGGCCGGATGGTGCTTTTTCTGTGAGAGTGACCTGACTGGGGAGAGTGACTGACCCTTCCTTCTTTTCTGTCCATCGAGAAAAGCAACCTTTTCGGACAGGTCGCTGGTGATCAGGTGTGGTGATTCCTAAAGGCGACCCATAGGCCCAGAGTCAAGGGAATTTTGATTCAACTGTTTTGGGGCCTTATAATTGAAATGGGTGTATATATATATATATATCAAAATAGAGAGACCTCCCAGTTTGACCCCCTGGAAGAAGGGACATAGACCAACACCCATTGGTATTGGTTGGGGGTCTCCCTCTTAAATATAGCAATGGTGGTCCCAAATAGGAAGAACCACCATTGGAGGATGAACATAGGTGGCATTCCTATGCTCGTGCCGTAGCTTTCCCATCCGTGTTGGTGAGCACTAGAAATCGAATCCCACATGAAAGCCATGTGAAGAGCAGGAGTTCTTGGCTTTTCTCAGGTGATCACCCTGGCGGTCATTGGCATGCTGCTGAGTGCTGGCTGGGAAACTCAGGCAGCTTTCGGTGATGGCCGACAGCTCTTGAGAAAAACAGGAGAGAGAGAGAGAGTGATAGAGAGAGAGAGAGAGAGAAAAATGCGACCGTCTGGAAGTGGTTCAGTGCCTCATACACCTTGTTTTCCCACTCGGTGAAGATGGACAGATAATAGAATCACCATTTGTGGATTCCTAGATTTGCTGTGGGGCATGATGCAAAGGTAATGGATGATCGTTTCCAGCAACATTCACCATTGGCCTATATAGATGGTCTCACAGTCTCACCCTCTCATCCACGGTTCGCGGATTTATCCAAGGTGTGTCTCAAGCCCTTGTCCGCTTTCCGAGTCCGGCCTGCAGGTCAGGGTCAGGTGTTCCGCTCACCAAATGCGTCGCGGCTTCACCAAGTGGTGCACTCACTCAAATGAACCACCCATCCAGTCGAGCAAGATCGTCTTCTCACCTGTGCCCAGATCGACCAGCAGCTTGCCCTGGCTACCGTTCTCAGGAACGCCATGTGGCTCTCTCTTCGCCGCACTCGTGCTATCGCTCAGCCTAGGCCGGCGATTCTTCCTTGAGACAGGGTCTATTTCTGTGCCACAAATGAATACATTTGCCATAACCTGTAGCCACTGGCACAAACATTTTACTGGTCTACCTCCTTGACACAGCGGGTGATAGTCAAGAATCATTCCAGTTCACTCCAATTCTTCCACAGCTGGGCCGTGGTTTCTTGCTTTTCTTTGCCATTGGTTGATAGCTGGAAGCTGGAAGAATGGCTGATCGCCTCAGACGCGTCACAATCCATGACAGGCGTGGGGCTCGCGGGCTACACTTGGCAATTGGGCCTCTGCCATGCCGCAGCGTCTCGGACGAAGATCTTCTCCGTGTTCGGCGCGGCGTGACGTCGCGTTGCGGCGTGACGTTGGAAGACTAAATCTTTGGACTCCAGGTGAGTGGTGCTGGACTCTTTTTTTGGACTCGTGTTCTTTGAAGAAAAACAAAACAAAGTACATCATGTCACTTTTTACCCTATGTTGCCCAATGCTGCCCCAGCCTCTCTGCTTTGGGCTTGTTGGTCTCATGAGCTTGTCGGCGTGGCTCAAGGTTGTCGACGTGTTTTCTTTGGTTTCCTGGACGAGTTCAGTCATGGGTGGGTCAAACCTCAAAAAGGTAAGTCTTTGGGGATGAAGCTGTTGTCATCCTAGGAAGAATGCGTGATTTTCGTGAAGTGTTTTTGTCTGACCTGCGAGCATTCAAGAGAATTTTCGCCCACGAACCGTTGGCGTGTCGAACAGTTCTCCCCCACATTTGTGGATGAGATGCATGGTTTTAGCTCCACATATGAACGATGCGACCGGTGTGAGTTTGTCCGTCGTTCACACCCTGAAAAAGCGGCTTTGGGACCGTTGACGCGGCCGGCTGATACCGGCGCGGGCCGGACCGACCGACTTGCGGGTCCGTGATTTCCGCACCTGGCGGTGCTTGGGTGCTGAAAGTGACACACCTGGGTGGCGATGTTCCTGAGACCTCAAGGAAAAAACCACTCAAGCCTGTGAACATGTCCTGGGCAAGTGGATAAGGGGAGAAGTTTGGTGAATGTGACTTCCGGGAGGCGTTTATACTTTATTGTTTTTTCTTCGGATGATCCCCGAAGCTCAACCAACAACTGTATGGATCTTAGTATATTCAGGCCATTCAGACTCCAGTGTATCTTCAGGATTTTACACTCAACCTTCTCTCACCCCGATTTCAATGATCAAACCGCTTTGCTCCACCTCACCCTCCACCTCACCCTCCTCACACCGCTCCGACCGCTGGACCGAACCGACCGGAGGCGTCGTCGCTGCACGGAGTGCTCGTGAGCGTCATGGCGCTGATCTTCGTGCTGGTGCGGCTGCCGAGACGCCCACGGGACGTCGGTGCACCCGTGCGGCTGCGGTGCGTTTCGGGGGGAAACCTGGTAGCGGATGAGGTGACTGCGTTGACCCTTGTGTGCACCTGCAAGCGGTGTGGTGGGATGTTTCAAGAAGGGTCAAGAAGTGGCTTTTCCTTGACTCCTTCTACCAGTCATAGTGAAAAGTGATGACCTCTTTTTTGGATAAAGACCTTTACTAAGCCATCATCCACTGTTCGGGGCAGTTGGGTAATATACTGTACCAACTTTGATGACATGCGGCCTCTTTAGTGAGAACAGTCTCTTGCCGCGCCGACAGAACTTGTTCAGCTTCTTTTTTGGGAGGCGAACAGGACTTGTTCCTACTGTGAGCCACTGGCTGACGGGGCGCCTTGTTATCCCGTCAATAAGCGTGGCCCAAGCATGGCAGCCTTTTGTGACATGTGGATCCTGCTGTTGGGAGAAAAGTGACATGCTATTCATTCTGAAGGGGAGAAACGTGACGAAGTGCTCATGGGAAAAAGAAGCTATTTTGGGGATTGCTTTCGAGAGGAGGCCTTGATGGGTGGGTGGAAAGGAAGACAAGGTCCTGACAGGTTTTCTATTGTATATAGCGGATATGCGGGAATCCGACGCGAAAACGCGAAAATGGTGAAAACGGTGAAGACCGCGAACATGGCGAAAACCATGTTCAAGTCGAGATTTGTTTACTGTATATAGATAGTTTACCTTTGTTGTTCTCGGTCTTCTCGTTTTCTGGGGCAAATCCTCTTAGGTGTCGCGAAAAAGGATTGCATGAGTGTGGGTCAATCCTACAGGTCTCCGCAATCAATCAATACTGAATTGGGATCCAATTCCCATGGTGTGCACGTTGGGAGATGTTTTCCACTGGGGCGACTGGGCTCATTCCATTTGAGAGAAGAACAGGCCATGGATCTACCCTATCCGCTAATAACTGAGACTCTCTTTTTCCACCTGGATAGGGTAGGCCGGGTAGGCAGTCCATTAACCTCCAAAGGCAGTCCATTAAGACCGTCCGCAACAGAGAACATCACTCTTTTCGATGATGTCGGCCGCCTGGGATATCCCACCATCATCGATCACCTCCACAGAGGTTCTTCAGAACCCTATACTTCGACTCTCCCAGGTTTTCCGGGCTCCTTTTTCAGGGTCTGACCGGTGTTGAGTCGGACCGACCCCCATGACCACCCTCGACCCCATGACCTGCACCCTCAGAGCGCCAGCTCTTCGTGTGCACCCCTGGCATTGCGGGCCCTGGAACGATGAAGGCGTCGCACCGTTGGTTGGGACGAGTCGGGGGCGCCGTGACGTCCCGTTGGGGCGAGCCCATGATGGCTGTAGACGCCACCTGGTGGTCACATGTAGGTTCATATTTTGGGAAGGAAGACCCCCACATTCTTACAACAACAAGGGTTAGGTTCAGCTTGGAAGAGAGGTGCCAAGACTGAGCCGTCTTGGCGTTCGAGGCGAGGCCTGACCCCAAAACCTTTGGCAGTGTCAATCAGGTAGGTGAGGGGGCAGTTCCCCGGTTCCATCGATGCCAGATCTCTACTTGGTGGACCCCAGAAAAGGCCGGTGCTTTGCGCTTTCCTCTTCAAGACATGGCTTTCAGGGAGACGCCGACCAAACGTCTGAATCAATGGTGAGTTACATGTTCAAGTCAATGTGTGACTGAAATGGGTGAATTCGATCGTTTCTTCGGATGAATTCATACATTGACTTGAATTGAATATATACTGTATATTCCCATTTGGTGAATTTGGTGGTTTCGAGCCACGCCCACCTTCAAAGAAACCCATCAAAGAGGTTCTTGGACCCCATTTCTCGGCTCCCTTCCTCCTGGCCGGAGGTGGTTCTGGCACCCTGCTTGGGAGCGGCTCGGTGCAAGCACAAACGCGCGCCCTGCGCTTTTCCTGCGCTTTTCCATGCGGTTGGCGGTTGGTGCAGCATTGAACGGAATGGGTTCCTTCGGGGTCCCATTCATGACATGTCGTCAAGACCGGCCGGAGCTGTGCGTCTCTACTGACCCGGCTTTGGGGACGGACCTGTCGAGGCTTGACGAGCAGGTCATCCGAATCGAATCGGCAATAGAAAGGACCCACTTCGATGATGATTTCAGGGAGTGTAGAGTTTCAGAATAGATGGCACAAACTCAAAGATGTCTTTTGTATTGGGGTCCATATAAACCACCGACCTTGGGGATTGCGCCATCTACTCTGAGACCACTGTACATAGAAAGGACCTGGGCCGAGTTGCTTCACTTGGGAGCAGATTGGGAGCCTGATGGGAGCTTTGGAAAACACAGGTTTCACAGCCTCTCAGCCTAACAGCTTGGAAGACAGGCCACATGTGGAGGTCTTATTCTCGGAAGTTGAGTGGAACCATCACTGCAGGCCTTGCTCTTTACTTGTGGCCTCGCTGGTGTGGCTCGGGCGCCCAGAGGTGCAAGGAGTGCAAGGAGGTTCCGAAGAGACCTCTGCGGTGTCCGGAGAAAACCCTGTGATCGAGTACAGTATGTGGTGTGTCGCATGTGGTGTCTCAACGACCCATGATAGACCCTCAAAAGAATGGGAGGACAGGATTTTCCATTCTGATTTCAAGAATGTTGCTCACGTTTTTTTTGGCTGGCGCATCAAGTTGTGCTTCTTTCAAGATTTCCAAGACGAGAGGTGCAGTAAACTAAAACTGGACGGAATCGACGACTGATGTCTCTCAACCAAGCCAGGACAAACTGGATTCTTGAGCAACGGAATGGATTGAGGTGCTTTTATAAGGTCTTCATGTCTTAGGTCTTAGGGGCGGGCTTTTGATTTTGGGTTTCTTCCTGTTTCCAACCCTTCTTCGGAAGAGGGGAAGCCCATCGTCTTCCTATCCGCCCATCCTCCGCCTATCCGTTCATCTCCACACTGCAGCTGGCGAGGTGACCGAAGATGGCGAGCAAGTGGCTCTCACTGTCCCGGAGCTTTTGTCCAGCAGTTGTCAGGACGAACTTGTGGTTGCAACCTTGAGGTGGTTGAAGAACGTCACCGTCACCGTCACTCATAGAGACCTGTACGACCTAGAACAAGCTCCCAATAGAGATCTCTGAAGTTCCATGCCCTCATTCCCTGCGAGTCGCACCAGTTAGCGAAATGAAAGGCAGTTTCCTGTTGAAAGGATTTCAGCCAACCAATATTTAACTTTTCAGTGATCTTCATATACGTGTCACAGCGCGGGTACGTCTCAAGGCTGAAAGTCAACCATCCGAGCAGTGCTTGAAGGTATAGTTCTCACAAAGGGTCTCAGATCCTTTGGCCAAGCAAAAAGCAAAACATTCACTTCGGGAACTGAGCAAGACTTGTCTGAAGGTTTATTCAGTTTATTCTCTTCCAGCAGTGATAACTGCTTCCCCAAAGCCCCAACAAAGGGCGTGTTTTCTTGGGTGAAGAAGGCGTGTCAATCCCCGTCCGCCCGCATCAGCTCCAGATGGATTTTGCTCACCTTAAAAGACCCCCTGGTCCTAGACCCATAGAATGGGCCCACCTGGAAGGTTTTTTTCCTTTTTTTGGGGGGCTGGATGGGTGGGTGGGGTATGAAGAACGTGGACCGAAATGGACCTTCAGCTTTCGCTCACCAGGACAGTTCGAAGAAGTGGCGGAGCTTCTTTGCTTGGGCTGCGCTGGCCGCGCGGGGCCTTCTCAGCGGGGTGGGTTTCATAGATGGCCCTTCTTCCGGTTGGTTGGTTGATTGCAACGGGGATATTTCCTGGTTGTGTCGAATCAAAGGGTATCTCCAACGAAATTGACAAATCTTTAGGTTCAGAAGGACATTCACCAGGCAAGTCTTTTTTCGGAATCCCCCACCAGACAGGTCCTGCGCAGCCGACTGACCTGCTTGGGGGATCTCCTGAAGGACCGATGGGGATATCCTGCTTGTGGTAAGTCCGTCAACCCGTCGCGTCGCTTTTCTTTTTTCTATCCCGTGGGTTTTCCGGCGACATCGGTTGATGGGGGGGTGGATCCTGAAATCTTTCATTCTGTTTTTGCTGTTTATTCATTCATTGTGGCTCGATATTTCTTAGGATCATGATGCTTAAGGTCCCAGAACACAGGTTTGGAGGTGAAAATCCATAGGTTTGGAGGTGAACACACTTTTGTTGTTTTCGATATTTTCCATTCAACCAATTCATTGACAAGGAGATCCTGGGTTGTGTCCTATAGTCCTCAACCCCCCCAACTTTCCTTGACGTCTTGGACCGTGTGCGGCCGGACGTCTCGGACCAGGTGCGGCATCGTCTTGCAACTGATTTTTCTTCGTCTCGCTGCACCAGGCGCTGACCGCGCGCAGTCGCGCGCGCCATCGGACCCACGTGTCGAGTCGCCAAGAAGCGCGTCGTGCGAGGGAAATCGGAGGATTTTGGGGGTCTTCTGACACTCTGATCGATGTGTGACACTCCTGGAGGAGTCCTTCTGCCATGCTGAACACAAAGAACACGTAATACAGAACAACACCTGAGAGTTCTGTGTGTTCCAGGCAGGTCTTCCTCGAAAGGTAGCATTTGGAACAGGGACCTTCTCAAAGGCACACAGGGCGAGAATGAGCTGTCTCAGAGGTTACTGAACACCCAAAAAGACACATGATGCTCGTTGCGATGGGCACAGTGCTTTTCTAGGCCTATACAGTCAATTTCATTGGCAAGAACAAGCCGTCCAACCGGACAGAACATTGGAGGGAACAATGGTTAGTGATCTGCTACGGTTACTGTAATGGAAGAAAGATAGAAAACGACTGAAAACCACCAGCATGCACAAAACAGTTGAGCATAGTCGGAGTTCACTCCGTTTTTGATGCAGATTGGAGGACTCTTCCATCAACAGCAGCGCTTTTCACCGAAAAGCCTGCGATTGGCTTCAGCAACCACCCGGAGGAAAGGCTTGGGGTTTTCCGGCCCCACCATTCTCCCACCTCACGTTGATTCCTGCAATCCTAACGCATTTTCACCGGGATCCGGATCCAAACACTTGACAGGGCATCTCTCAGAGACAAGTATGCTTTGGGCGGACCTTTTTTCCGTAGGGTGGGCGGACCCGTGTGTTCGTTCTGTTGAATTCAGGACCTGGAAATGGATTCAGGACCTGTGAGTTGCTTCTCTCCGGTCAAAGTTTGGATGTGGCTACCACCTTCGTGCTTGTTTCTCTGAGCGAAAAAGCACTCATGTTCGTGAACATGGGGGGAAGTTCTCACCAATCCTCACTCTCACTCTCTCAAGATCTTAGGAGCTTCTGTTCACATCGCCGAACACCGGAGGTCCTCTCATGGCTTCAACCTGACGTCCTCGGGTCAACTCGCACCCACAACACCTCTTTTGGAGCTCCGTAGTACACTCCCTGAAATAATCGGCCGGGCCAACGTGGATGGCATGGCCCCAGAAGAAGGATGACCATTGGCCCCAGAAGGATAACCATTTTCCTCTACAAATTCGGGGTTGTTCACTTCCATGATCTATTCTATTACAGGGAGTGTACCCAGAGAAGAATGAATCCCAAGCCTGCTGGAACATTTTTCAGCATCTCTTCTGCTCTTCCACGTGCTTTGGAGCAAAGAAAGCACCATACTTCTTGTAACCTCATTTTTACCCGGTATGGGGGCTGGGGGCAGCCGAACTGGAGGGGTCTGGGGTCAAATCCCAATCGATTTCGAGGGACTGCGGTCTGGTTGTGAACCGAGCGTCTGCGCCGTTTGCTGCTGCGGGTCGGCTCCGCCACGTGCCAGGCAATGAACAAGAAGGCGAGGATCGGACGGCTTTCCGGCGACAAAAACGGCACGGTTTTTGGGGCACGGCCGGTGTTTGAAGGAAGGTCGACGACTGAAAGGCCCTGGCTTTTTGGGGTAAGTTCTTCCACCTCACCTCTCATCCACGGGTCGCCTCGGTGCCTCGACGGTTCTCCATCGTCCACGACACCGGATGTCGTGGAACATCCCCTCCCGCTCCGCTCCCCCGGGGTCTTCCGTTCGATCGAGTCGATGGTGGGTTCCACCCCTCACCCCGGGACCGAAACGTGGACCGGGTGACCGGAGGTCGTGGTTTCCAGGGACCGGGATTCACCCCAAACCGACCTGTGACTGCTGGGCGACTGGACTCGACATGTGGCTGTGGGCTGGCTGTGGGTCTTTCAACCGGAAAGCCCTGAAAAAAGACCACGGAAAAACTGAACAGAATATATAGATTTATGCCAGGCCCCCTAAGAGGTGGTTAATGGACACCCCTTAAATAACATCTAATCTACATATATATATATATATAAGGGGCTAATCAATAGAAGCCCCGAAACGGGGGTCCTGGTATATGATGTAATCCTAGAACCCAGACATGACCTCTGTTTTGATCGGAAGTTGGACCATGTGACTTGGCTCCAAAACAGGGGTCAATCAGGTTCAAAGAGGAGGGGAACGGGACTGGTGAACCTCCCGACGTGTCTGAGTGGTCGTCAACCCGGGCTCCGGGTGCGGACCTTGGTGGGTCGGTTCGGGTCCTGCCCCGCCCGTGGCCGACGGGGTAAACCACTGACAAGAGTTTTGGGTTCCTCTCCTTTAAGACCAAACATCAAGTGGTGAACGAGGAATCTCAAGGCACTAGAACCGGCAGCTTCGGGCTGTGGTTGCCTCTTGTTGCCTCTGCGCGGCGAGCGCCAAACCTCCCAACAGACACGAACACAGACCTTTCTTCTTCCCGTTCTTCAGCCTTGGATATCTTGGATCTAGCCAGTACCCACATTTACAAGCATACCGCAAACGATAAAACGCCCTGAACGAGGGACCCTTCTCGATCTTTCTCCAACCGGGGACCACGCTGGCGTCCATACTCACGCCCACTACTCGGTCGTGGGACGACCTGATCAACCGGGATAGCTCCGCTTTCGCACGACTTCCCAAGTGAAAGACCTGACCTGAGCCCTCTGTTGCTGGGAAGATATTCCCCAGTTCCACACTTGAGTGACGTGTTTACATACCAGGACCTTCCAATCAGCTGGCTTTTGGACACCCCGAATCACCGTCAATCACCTTCTTTACGAGGCTATTGATGGATACCTCTGTGGTCTCGGGTCTGGTCCTGCGCCGGCGGCGATCCATCGTCCGCCTGGGCGCCAGGGCGCCTGGTCGAACGTCTCTTGGAGGTGGATGACACCGAGGCCGCGGGTGTGCGAAAGGGTCGGTGGCAGGCAGGTGGTGTTGTTTTGGGGGGGCGGGTTGTGCACCCTGCAAGAGTGAGGTTGAAGTCTTCCTTCAGGCTTTTCTGATTGATGTTCATGCTGAATGACCGCAAGCCCAATGACTCCCACCCGACTCCCAGTGCGGCCGAAGTTCCTACCATGAACCTCTTGTGCACACTCTTTCGCCGCATGCCGAACGTGATGCACGAGAAGAGGTCGGCTCCGACCGCTCGACCCGACCACGACTGCGACCCAGACCGCCGGGGTGGCCAATATCCCACGCCCGGGCGAAGGAGGCAGAGACAGGCGCGCGATCGGGAGACAGGCCCCCCCATTTTCATCAGAAAGAGTTCTGGATGGAACTGCCCAGTGGGTTTGAGCCCTTTTCCTATGTGGATCGCCCTGTCGCTTTCCCGCCATAAGTGGAACCGGTGCAGAACTGTTTCTGGTTGGGACTGGGGTTGGGACTGGTGGTGGGGACGTGCCTGGCTGGTCCGTCGCGCGCGACTGGTGTCGTTTGGGGAAGAAAGAAGGGGGGGATCCTGCAAGAACGGCGCACAAGCAGATGTTGTGGAGTTGGCTTGTTTGATGTTGCAGAAGTGTCCAGAAGATCGTTCTCTAGTCTGTGTTTCTCTCGGATATTTTCTAGCTGGCAGATCAGCCTGGCAGTTAATCCCTTAGCAGGTATGCCATAGGCAACCCGTTCCCATTACTATCCCATTAGCGCTCCAGCCATCCGGTGAGACGTGGAAGGAGCGTGCCCACCACAGGTAAAGACAACAAAAAAGGAACCCGGGTGAAGTCTACTCAAGAGTCCCAAATGCGCTCCGCGAAGAACAACACAGAGTCGACAAATGCGCCAGCAGAGAAGAGTTGGCAATCAAAACACATGCTTCATCGCAATGGAAAGGGATGGGATTATTCCTCCCTGAGGAAGTACACGACTTCCTCCCTGAGGAAGTACACGACCACAAGAGAGAGGATGGCTCGCGTGAAAGGCACCAGGGAAGGTATGAAAATACTCATTCTTGCTCGAGACTTCCATATCCAGGTCATTTGGGTGGACTCAAGTTGATTTGACACCTGTACCTATCCCTTACTTCAACGACGGAGGGTGAACCTGTTTTCGTGAGGGGCTCAAGGAAGCTCGCCCCCACGAAGACGGACCGTCGTCTCCGAAAAACACCCCAGGTACTCGGCCAAGATGGCAGTCCCAGCGAAGCCTTGTTGGGGATTGGCCTATACCAGCAGTCACAAGACGGGGTGCTTCTGTAATGGAGATTAGGGGTTAGGGCTTAGGGACTTGGAAAACAAAGGGGAACGAGCTTGAAAGACACTGAAGAAACCGGTAGAACGCTCCTGATAGGGTATATCTTCGTCACCAAATCCCCTCCAACAAAAGCATGTTTTTTTTCCGGATCTGTACACGAGATAAGCGCGAAAACATAAGATCACATGATCACATGAAAGATCATTGAAAGGCATCCACTGACCAACCAAAACATATCTCCACCGGGAGGCCGTTTTAGTGGGGTGCGGGTCTTCTTTTGTTTTTTTTTGGGACCTCCCTTCACTAGGGGCCTTTAGGGGCCTTTAGGGGCAGCCTGTGGCTTCTTTCACCGGTGGAGTCCGATCCGCTCGGTTCTGGCCACCGCTGGGGCCGGCTTCCTTCCCAGGTACGACACCCTCCGGAAGGCCATCGACGCTCCGGAAGATGCGGACCTGTCCCACCTCTCGGTGCGGTGGAACCGGACGGATGGGGTGGGGGATGGCGAACCGGGGGGTACACGGAGCACGAAACGCCACATGGCCCACTGGGTCACAAGCTGGAGCTCGGGTCTCATTTGGTGCGCGAGCGATCTGACCTTCTTCTTCTTAGGGCAAGGCTAGCAAGGTATCGTTGGGGTCATGACCCACAGCCACATGGAAGTGGAGGTTTGGCACGAGGCATTTCAGGGTCATCCGACCTTCAGGGTAGTGAGGCCATCCACGTTTCTATGATGTCAGAGAGTGTCGGTGGTATGGGCCAATGGGTGGTTTTTGGGTTTCAATGAGGAGACTCCGAGACTCCCAACCAATGGGTATATAGTTGGCGGGTCGCCTTATTCAGATACACACCCTAAAAAACGGAAGAGTGGGGGGTTAGGTTGTGTTCATGGTGTCGGGTACGGGAGACATCTTTTGCAGAAGTCCTTGAGATTGAAGGGCCAACTTCTTTGAGTACTTCTTTTTGACATAATATCACCCAAGTGAAAGACCTCTCCCTTCTTTGGCTTCTTACGTTTTAGTGATGTTGGAGTACGTCCTTAGAAATCCTTGGTGGAGTGCTTCCACACGCCCTGTGGACCCAGCTCTTCGACTCGATCCAGAAACTGGATCCTCCCTGGCAGTCATGGAATGGACAGAAGACTGCCGGCTCCAGTCGATACCCTCCCTTCAGCAAACATGGAAGTGGAGTTCATCTCCTGTTTGTAGAGGAACATGGTCTCAATCATGGGCCATGCCATCCACTTCTATGATTGTTCAAAAAAAGAGGGTGATGATACTGTCCAACACACGCGAATCTGGCGGTTTTGCAGGTGTCATATACACTCCTTGGAAACGAACCAGTGGCGAGCGCACCGCACGGCGATGGCACGGCGATGGCACCATCACCGGCCGCTTCGGGTCCCTCGCGGCGGCGCGGAAAAAAACCATTTTCTTCGGCCAAAGACATGGGGAACTCCACGAAAGCGACGCATTGCAGTCCCAGACACAACTAATGGGACTGCTATATATGCCTACATTGGGGTGGTGCCAGGGGGGTCAATGGGGCGGCATATATAGCAGTCCCATGGAGTGTTTGGGAGTGGAAGACCCAAAACCACGTGACGTCTCCGTCAGTTTCCGCGTGCTGAAAACCCAGCGCAGAGAAGGCACCGTGGCACCTCCCACCACCACCATGCTGGTTTGGAATGGCAAGTCCATCCGACCAAGGTCTAGGATGTTCCCCTGCTTTTACCAACGGTATGGCAGGACCGTGTTTTTGGCTGTGGCCCCCCCCGGGTCCTCTGGTCCGTCCAGTTTTCGCCAGGAAAATGACCGCAAGATTGTGGAAATCTGTCGGAAGGCCAGTTCTGTGGATCGGCTGGGGCTTCGCTGGGGGCGGTGCTTTTCGGCGCCGGGACCTGATCAGTCAACTCTTGACACGGCCAGTGTACGCCCAAACCCTCCAGCAACAACACTGGTAAAGGCTGAGCCGAGCCTGTGCTTGCATTGTGGAATGCTCAGCGCATGGATGTGGCAGTTAGACAGGTATGTCTGGCTGCCTTGTGTTTGATTCATGCATGCTGATTCATGGCAGGTTCCCTGAGACAAAGCATTGTTGAATTATTCCAAGACACATGTGTTCCTGTTTGTTGCCCAGCCTTCTTACCATGGCACTTTGGGTTTTGGTGCTAGGCACTGGACGCCAATGCCACTAGAGTTGTTTCCGAAAAATCCAATTGCAGGTGCATTTTTGTGGTAAACAAGGGATGAGCATTGCTTGGAACAGTTTAATGCATGTCCTCGATCTTTTCGTTTGATGTTTGCTCCATTCACATTTGCTTACCCGACAAGACGCCATTTTGTGATCATTTGTGACCTTCAGTAAGGAGACAAAAGCAGATGTTCTGGGGGGTTGAGAAAAGTTCAAACATCACCACCACCCAGAGTACTGCATCAAATCACAACTCTTCGGCTGAAAAGAATCGTCTTGTCACTTGCTTCTACACTGGTTTCAGCATAGTGCCTCCTTTGTCAGTGCATCACTTTTGCAGCTTCTGTGCTCCGTTCTTATCGGTTTTTGTCCGCTTTGTTCCTCTACCTCAGGACGAGTTCGAACGGGACCGTGTGCTTTGGGGTGGCGGCCTGATCTGAGTTCTCCTCGCTGACCCCGCGTGGAAATGCGGAGAAAATGTAGCCGGGAGGGTCAGTCGAAGAGTCTCGCGGGGGTCTCAGATGGAGAGGGTCTCAGATGACTTTTTTGACATTGAAGCTCTCCGTGGTGAGGGTCTCAGATGGAAAGAAGTCGAACAATTTTTTGCTTTTGGAGCGTTATGAGAACTAATTTGTTGCATGACAAACTGAGAAGGCTTTGTGGTCTTCTCATGCAGGGGTGCCTGGTTGCCTTATAGTTATATATCAGCATTGCAGAGAAACCCCGTAATTCCTGTGGGTGATGTGCCAACAGTGCGTAAATGTCTGTTTTGGCACTCGTTTTGAGAAGCATGGAATTGCCAGGGGATGGAGGTCACAGTCTTTGTTTGGTTGCTCTATTTGTCACCTCGAACACTCACACTTCAGGATCTGCTTCGTGTCACCACGAAAGCCAACACCCATTGCGTTCGCTGGCCATCCATGCATCACCGTGTCTTGCGTAACACCATGGGCTTCTCCCGTTTCGCTGACCAGCCGGGCTGGGCTGCTCTCTGAGAGCGATGGAAAGCACAGTGGTCTCTGCCCAGTCGTTTGGTGGGTCCTGTAGACATGATGTACAGACACTAAACCCACCAGGAGTCACATGGAGTGGGGTGGTTTTGTGGCTCGTCCCATCCAGGGCTCGTGTGATGCGATGCTTGGGCATCCCTATCCCTCCTTCCTTCCTCCGTTCGGAACCGGCACCCCGGTCTTACGTGACTGCTGGCAGACGGCTTACTGGACGTCCTTTCTCCGTTTTCACCGCCGCGGCTTACGAAGGGTCTCCGGTGTTTCCCCTTGGGGATCTCCAAGAGCCTTGAACACTCTGGCAAAGGGGTCCCAACAAACTCTTCGTGACACGTCGGTGTTGGTCGAGACTTCGATGGCGGCCTCTATGGATCGGTCGTCGACGGATGGAGAGATCGCCACCCGTCGACGGACGTGAAGACGTAGATGGAGGATACAAACACCTTCAATCCAATGGGTTCTGTGACAGTTACTGACTCAAGGGGATTGAATATTGAGGTCCAATCTACTGTATGTCGTGGGGAAGCACCTGCTCCGGAACAGCGACCGTCCGGGCTTCTCCAGCGACGCTGCGTCGCTGTCCGGGTGCCGACCATGGAACCTAAAACCGTTGTCCTGAGGGTGTCGGTGTTCAACTCGTGGGTGTGACGGGTGCGAGACGGGACCCGAAGCCGGGACCATCCAGAAGGAGACACTGACGACCAGTCACGGAGGCTTCCAGCTGGGTGGAGAGACCGCCACAGCAGCGAAGTGTGGACAGCGAAGCGGGTATCCTTTGAATCCATTGCTATTCAGGTGCACGCCTTGGTCCATGCACAGGTTTTTTTGTGATGGTCGCATTTTCTCCACGCCCATATAATATGTCAGATACATCAGTACCGGAAGATCGTCACTGGTTTTCCTACACCTTCCGACTAAGCCAGAGATGGTAGATCCAGAAACATCCGAAAATCCCTACACCGTTCCAGGCTTGAGACTCTCATCTCGCTGCAGGATGGACTGGAAAAGCCCTAACACGTTGGGACAGTCCCGCTGGTGTCCAGATTTTTGCTTGGGAATTGAACCATCAAAAGAAATCGAACAGTAACATAATGTGTTTAGACCTAAAGATTCCAAACCATCTCTTTGGGATTCAGTCCTAATGCCTTTGGTGCAAAACTAAAGCTGTTTTTCTTTTTAACGTCCTGCTCGGATATTTTTTGCGCATTGCCCCGAACAATTTGAAACCGCTTTGGCTCCAGCATCTGGAAGCAGCCTGAAACTGAAATCAGCCTCTGGGTTCATCCAAAGCTTCCTTTGTGAAGGTTTTAATTCCAACACCGCCCCGATTTTGCATGCAAGAATGGAAGAACTCGCAAGCTCTTGCTCTTTTATGATGTGTGTGGGCTCCCCTCGGTGCACCCACAACGGTGCTTGAAATCCCGAAGGACCCAACGGATCGAAGGACACCATGCCACGCCCGCCGCCTTCAACCGCCCAACCGCCGCAATGGATCCATCGGACGGTGTCGATGGGGGCCGCGGCCGGGGCGCCCTGGGCGAGGCGAACATGGGGGACACCTGGCAAGTCACATGAGGGGGACCATGTGAGTTAAACCCATGATGGACAGATCCGCAGCTTGTGAGTGTGACTCATCTGGCGGTCACATGTTCGATGAAAGGGGGGCGTCAAAGACACATGAGGCGCTCTGCCTGTTGGTTCACATGTGCTCTGCCTGTTCGCTGCAAACCCGCAGGTTTGGGTTTGTGGCAGAGAAGGGTGAGGAGTCGATTTCTGTCAAAAGTCTTATGAAACGAAACACATGGAGATGGGGCTCAAACAGAATGGATATATGCATATATATATATACATACGATAGAGGGACCTTTAGGTACCATTTCGCACTGCATTATGTTGACAGAAATGAAGACTTCCCTAGCATTTAGATAATTAAAATAAGTAAATCAGTAAATCATTTAAATTCTTTCTATTCTTTTAATTCTCTGAGGGACCCGGAACGATTAAAAGAATTAGAATAAGTTAAACAATTTAGTTATTTCAATTCTTTTAATTATCTGAGGGACCCCAGGGACCCGGAACAATTAAACGAATGAACCAAGTTAAGTTATTCAATTCCTTGAATTCTCGAAGGGACCTGGAACAGTTAAAAGTTTAAAGGATTAAAATAATTCAATCTCTTACTGTAATTCTTTTAACTATTTAATTCTCCGAGGCACCCGGAACAATTTAAATAATTGAAAGAATTGAAGCTTTTAATTCCCTTAATTCTCATAACTATTTTAATCAATTAATTGCCAAGAAGTCTTCATTGCTGTCAATATTTAGTTAAACGAACTAAACGCACTAAATCATTTAATTCTTTTAATTCTCTCAGGGATCCGGAACAATTAAACGAGTTAAACTAATTATATAAATCATTTAATTTGTTTAATTCTTTTAATTCTCTGAGGGATTCTAGCAATTAATGTCAGGTGTATGGTGAAAAGGTATGTTTACCTTCCTCAGGAATCAAGAAGAAAACATAATCACAACATAGTAACTGTTGAATTCAATGTTTGATAGACAAATCACATGCATCATGACATGTGCAGTTGACGCATTTTTCAGCAACCCTTTGTTCATATGATTTCGTATGTCATCCTGAATGGTTGTAGCACTTCTCTGGCCACTTGTCCTAGGTCATGACTTCGAGTTTTGGTCAAGATTCCACAGCTAGGGTTACAACCAGCGCCTTTTATTTTTTTTTCTCTCTCTCTCTCTCTATCTCTATGTTTCTTTGATCACAGAACACAGTGGTTTTAAACAAAGGTTTCCAGCAGAAGTCCTTGGTCATTGTCCTGAGCCTGAGCCCTTGTTTTTCAATGCTTTTTTCAAACGCGATCCAGAAGTCTTATGTTGTAGTATTCAGGCTGATGACTTAGGCCAAACATGCTTTCTATCAAATTTCCTTTCCCTGATGACTTGGTATACTTCAATTTTGGGGCCGTTAACTCCTCAGTCCTTAGCCTCTAGTACATACATTCAAGGAACCGTTGAATCATGAATCTGAATGTCTGCAGCAATTCTTGGGTGCAGTGGGCTTCATTTTTGCGAAGCAGGATGAGACGAGGACGAAGGACTGGTTGGGGTCATTGTGCAAAGAGGATCATTCTGAGTGCTGATGACAAACAATACAGTTGCCCACTAATTCAACTGTACATCCTTTGTGTCCACACAGAAGTTCTTCAGGCTGGAAGAGACTGTCGCGGGTATGGCGCCGTGCCTCATTCAAAATGTAAAGAACCATATTTCACACGCGTGAAGTCCTTTGTTGTTACGCAGCTCACATGAGGCCTCTGACCTATTCACGCCCACGTGCCCAGGACGCCCCCAAGAAGGTAGTAGTAGTAGTAGTAGTAGTAGTAGTAGTAGTAGTAGTAGTAGTAGTAGTAGTAGTAGTAGTAGTGCCCCCCCCGCAATCGGGAAAGTACTAGCAGTCGTGCCCCCCGTCGACCTGGGAAAAGTAGTAGTAGTAGTAGTAGTAGTAGTAGTAGTAGTAGTAGTAGTCGTGGCCCCCCCCTCGAACTGGGAAAAGTAGTAGTGGTCGTGCCCCCCCCTTCGAAAGGGCAAGTAGTAGTAGTAGCCCCCCGCCTAAAAGGCCTCAAAGAAGGATCCTGTGCCACGAGGGCCTAAAAGAAGGATCCTGTGCTACGAGGGCAAGTAGTAGTAGTCGTGCCCTTCCCCCCCTTACAGGCCTTAAAGAAGGATCCTGTGCTACGAGGGCCTAAAAGA